TCATTCGATCACCGAAGATGGTATAGGAATGCCGATAAAAGCTTTTTTGTTCCATCATGCTTAAATGTTCTACCATGCTTAAAATAAATAAAAGTTTTAATTTTGAACTCAAGAAATCGAGAAACTTGACAATGGTTTACGATCTGCAGTTAGAAAAATCGAAAAATTAAACAGAAAGCTAACTAACGCGAAACATGCCGTGATTTTCATCAATAACTGCATCTTTATATACATTCACTGTATATCAATACATGTGTTCTCTTTTCAACAAGTTTTTTGATGATTTTGTAAATTTTCATTCCAAATATTTTTCGATTGTTAGTGCAACGATGCTGGTAATAAATTAAGATTAGACTTCTTTGTTTGAGCCCAAAGTTATTATTAATATTATTTTTAATTATCATTATTGTTACCTTATGTGTGATCTTGTGTTTTTCAAATCTGATCATCATAAAATTTGTTTTAAGAACTAAAATAATAAAAATAATAATTAATACGGACGGTTTTGTATGAATTTGAATTTTCGTGTTGGTTCTTTCTTCGTCGGTTGAGTTATATACAGCTGCCAAGTTGTTTCCTATTGTGATGAACTGTCACCTGTTGGCGAGTTGGCTCAGACGTCAGCAGCTGTGCCATGTCCAGTTTTTGTAACAACTGCAGGTTGGACTGTCCAGCGTTTGGAGTGCACGATGTGATGCATCATTTGCCGAGACGTACTAAATTCATGTGCATTGTTAATGTTGTGACTCTCAGACTTTCGATTCGGAAAGTTTAACTACAATTATGAAGGAATGGTTTCAAGCATCACTTGGTCTTCTTCGTGTTTGTCTGTTAGGATTAGAACTGCATAATAAAAAACTAAAAAAGGAGATTTTTTTATTTTTATTTTCCACAACGTGCAAACAAAACGCATCATGGAATGTAGGAAAGTAGGAAAATGAGATAACAAAACAATCTATCTAACTTTATAATTTTTCAAATTAACTCCAAGCCTTCCTCCGAATGTTAAACACATTCTTGACGCAAATAAATGTTTACCGCTTATCTCTGGTGAATATAATAAAACTAAACCTGGCGATTATAGTTCACTGTTCGTTGATGACAATGATAATTGATATGAAAATGATAATGATGTGACGGTTGATATGATAAGGGAAAGTTATGATAATAAATTAATATGATAATTATTATAATTATATTTTTAATTAAACATATTTCATCGTAGCAATAAGTTCAACAAATTAACTAATTATATAAACTCTCTGTGAATGTGCGTGCGTGCGTGTGTGTATGTATGTGTATGTTTGTGTGTATGTGTGCGTGTGTGGTTTCATAGAAACAGCCTTAATTGAAATCAAATCAGACTTTGAAGATGAGAGGTGATGATATGATTACAAATATGTACGATGACGATTGAACGACGATGATAACGTTGACAATCGATGGCGAATGAGGATGGCAATGACATAAAAATGATAATAAGTAATGATATGATATTATCATGCATCATGATGATCAAAATATGACTACGATGACTTATGTGAGTTGATTAATTAATAATAATGACGGTGACGATGACGATGAAGACATCAGTTATAACGATGACGACGACGATGATAAATAAATAAATAACTGCATGTTGCTAACCAAGAGGCACTTAACTGAAAGAAAGCCTTGAGTGTTTGAGTGTTATTATTATTATTGTTATTATTATTATTATTGTTATTATTATTATTATTGTTATCATTTTGTTTATGAGTGGAAGTTTGTTGATTAGATTACCAGTTGGCTCGTGCGTTTCTGTACAAGAATGCGCTTGTCACTTGTTTCAGATCAATTATTTGTACAAACAAAAACGTTAATATTGATTGAATTAGAGTAAATTCAATTTTAAAATTCAATTTTCAAAAGGAAATTTAAGTGAATTGAAGTTGTTGTTGTTAAAATTTCATATAATATTAATAGACGAAATTTATGGTGTTTTAATTACATTATTTCAACGTGCAAAACTATTGTTTTTATTAAATCTTAAAAAATGCTGCTTGAAATAATATTTCTAAGTGTGATTGCTCTGATCATCATCTTCGCTTTTTGTCTACCAAACGGTTATGTATTTAATTTCGATTTCAAAAAATTATTTATATCATTAAATGAATTATTACATTATTCGAATAATTTTCATCTGTATTGTAATTTATAATTTGTTATTCCAGTGTTAATATTTTTTTAAATTATTTAATTTTTTTTTTCTGAAAAATTTGTAGTGAAGGAGTTCGTGAAATACCACGTGGCTAGGGTGTATCTGCGCCTCTACTGCTGCAAACGTCTCAAGATCAACTACACGTTGGGTCTGCAGGAGGCACACGCCAGCAACTTCCCACAATCATACACTGAAGAATTCACCAGCACTGACAAAAATTACAACAACAACTACATCAACAATGATATCATTACCGGCAGCAACAACTGCAACGACAGCAACTGCAACGACTGCAACGACAACAACTGCAATGACGACGACGTCAACACCAACAACAACAGCGTGCCCCACAATGACGGTGACATGGACAACTACCAGATGGATGTTTTGCAAAGTATCTGGTCGAAATTGATACCCCTGAAGGATGGGGTGAAGCACGGAGCACTGACGGGAGCACACGTGGACATGGGCATTGGGGGAATACTCCGACAATCCGCTGTGGAGAACTTTTTTGGGGAAAAAATTTACAAGGAACCTATCTATATGTTCAGGTTTCTTATTGATTGGTTGCTGGATGGATGGTTGTTAGCAGAGTTTCGGAGTCAAAATTTTTTGGGGGTCCGGAGTGAGTGTTGGAGTCAGATATTTTTGATCCAACTCCAACGCTCTGGTTGTTAAATAGTTAGTTAGTAGGTTTGCATGTTTGTTTGTTTGTTAGTTGGGTTTTGTGTGTCATGCATCAAGTGAAATGTGAGGTGCACACTTCGTTTGTGGTCCTAAAAACGGGGCATAATGTCTCACATTCTTTATGTTTCTGCGCATTTTTTTTAGTTACAACCAAAATTTTGCGTCGCAAAATCTGCAACATGTGTGATTTTAAACTTTGCACAGGCCGTATTCGAACCTGGTCAGTGCGCAACGAACTTTTGAACATGGAACTCTTAACATACATAAGAACTTACTCGCCAGTTCAATTTCAACCGCTGATGAATATTATAATGTTACAATTAACAATGCATCTACTCAATCCTGCAGATCTCCAAGTGAAGAGAAGGATGCCTGGTTGGAACATCCACGACACTTCCGGCGGAGAAACAATCCCAATTTTCCAAAGATTAAAAAAGACAAGGTTATTGCATTTTTGTTAAACTATCGTATTTTGATAACTCATTTACTTGCGTCATAAAAAAGTCTCCTTGAGCATAACATCATTTTACTGGTTCACCTCGATTCAAGTTGTTGTTAGCAGGTTTTTGCAACCACACACAAAATTCAATTAGCTTAACACAAACAGAAGATTTGTATGCTTCCTATGTTCTCTATTAACACACACGCTCAATCTCGTCACAAAATTGTTTGATTTGAAATCAACTTCGTGGGTGTAAATAATTGAGGGATGATAAAACCAGGTTGGAATGAGGCATGCTATCTTTGAAGTTGAACGTTGGAAAGAGACTGTAGTACGTAGATAGTAGTAATAGTTGCAGAATAAAAAATTTTGTATAGCGAAGTGGTGGTTATTTGTGTCGCACATTTGGTCATTTCAAAATGATTTACAACTTCACCAGCAGAAAAGCTAACATTATCAGTGTGTACGAGACGATATATGCTAGCTAGTACATGCTTATTACAAAAGTATTCTATTTGTTAGTTTCTTTCAGTATTTTTGAAAAAACTGCACACTAATACGCTCACACTTGAACACACACATACACCACACACACACACACACACACACACACACACACACGCGCATAAACATATATACTGTAGACACACAGAGCTTTTCTTTGCGCAAAAATTGTTGAAATAACTGGCGACCCTATCGATAAAATCTACATGCATTCATACACTCACACATGTGTGTACGCAAACAAGTGTGTACACAAACACATGTACACGCACATACATACACAATTAAACAACCATGAATAAAAAGTTTACTATTTAAACTCTTAAAAATATTTTCACAATTGAAAAATGATTAGATTGAATAAATCACACTAGTTTATTTTATTTGCTACCATTGATTTAAACGGCGTAATTTGAATAACTCGACTAACTGACTCATACTCTGTATGTTTATAACAATGTTTTGTGCATGCATGTGCTTGTTTTTTTCATGCTAATATGATCACAAACGTGTTTTTTACATACATGTATGTTTTTATCATAAGAAGTTTTGTTTAGAGCCAGCCATGCTTTAATTGGCAGACTAGAAATTGAAATTAAAAAACCGGAACAAAATATAGCCGCTAAATTATTTCCGAAAGTAAATCCACATAATTATAATAAGTATATACACTTTTTTATGTATAACTATTATTTTCTATAATGAAAAATCGTTGGTAAGAAATTGATGTTTACTTGAAATAACGCTGAGAAGCAAAAAATGGTTTAGTCAATGAATTATTAATTTAGCACTTGAATGAACGCCCTATAAATCTCTTGTCTGCCATTCACAAAATTCTAAACAGGACACTTCCATATAATTTTTGATCCTAAAAATTATTATAAAATTGAGGCATTTTTATAAAATTGGAAGTGTTTGGAGCAACTTTTTCAACAACCTGGATCACGTCTCGGAAAAATGGGCCGTCTCGGAAAAATGGGACCGTCTCGGAAAAATGGGACTGTCTCGAATAACTGGGATTGTCTGGGGAAAATGGGACCGTCTCGGAAAAATGGGACCGTCTCGGAAAAATGGAAATGCCTTGGAAAAATGGGACTGTCTCGGACAAATGGGATTGTCTCGAAAAAATTGGGCAATTTCTGAAAAATTAAACCGTCTAGAAAAGACCAGGACGTGACTTCTGGTCATGTTAGTTTATGACCATATTCGTTATCATGTGTTATGATCACTCATGAAACACCTCATTCTAGTTTATAACCATATTCGTGATCAAGTTTTATGAGGTTAAGGTTTTAGTGTTTGCATGTGTGTTTATCACACTTCAGCAAGCTAGACATATATACAATTAAATATTTCAATGCATGTTTTTTTTCTCACGCTGTTTGTTGTTGAACCTTAGAAAATGTCACGTTCATGTCATAGTAGCTATTGTGTTATGTGACTGTAGTAACGTCGCCAAGTGATATGATTTTATGCATTTTTTAAGAAAGTTCTACAAAAAATATACACTAACAGACACATACACAAATCACACACACACACAAATCACACACACACATTAAATATGAAGCATTTATCTTCAAGTGTTTAGGTATTTTTGTGTCTCATTATTAAGTAACCTCCCAACTTTTGACAACAACAACATAAAAAATAAGTCAATCACAATCGCAATGATAATAATGATAAAAGCAGCGACAACAAAAATAATAAAAATAAAAAATGATTGTTATTAATTATTATTATTGTTATTATAAGTAATAGTTTGCTGTTCGACGTTTCGAAAAACACACATTGAATTTTGACACCCTAATATATTGTAAGAATCGATGTTAGATTTTACCAATCCAATGACTTGAAGCCCGACTTATGAAGTTTTTAAAAACGAATTTTAGTGAAAACATGGCGCGAAGATGAAACAAATAATTTGATGAGCACAACAATAATGTTGTAGCCCAACACAACCAACAGGCCATGAAATCATGGAAACATTCTGTTCGCACATCCTGCAACTAAGTTACCTATAACCTTAAAAAATACGTAGATGGCAGAACGTTTCCAGTTGTCAGGTCTCGATCACGAAGGCAACAGTTTGAGTTTGAACGTGACCAGGCGGGAGTTTGTTTGCCTGTCGGAGATCATGTCACGTGATGCAAATCAGAGTTTGTCTTTCTTTTGTATATTTTGTTTTGTTTCATCGAATCGTCGTTTTTTTAAACTATCCGTTTTATTTTGTTTCAATTTCACCACAGATTATATGGCGCGTTGTTTGCTTAACAAAACTTAACGAAACTCATTTGTTTTATTTTTTTAAGTTTTTTATCATTTCAATTCCTCTTTTTGATAAATATAGCATTTCGGGTTATATTACAAATTTTAATTATTCCATCATATTACATCGTCAAAAAGAGAAAGTTAGTGAAACGCAACAAAAGACAACGTGAATATAGCTACACAACACGCACAACAAAACAGCACAACACAACAACAACTACAACAACAACACACCACATTGCAACAACATTGCAGATATGAACGCAAGTCAGTGCATGGTGGACATCTGGATGATATTCACAATCTCGAAAGTGGGCTCATTCATCATGGTACCTGGTAGGACGTCATCTTGGTGCAGTTGTTGCCGGGTGGATTATGACGCCAAGGATGGGAACATATTCGTCGATTCGTGCGGTCTGAGAATCGAATGTATCGAACCGATGAAAAAGTGGTCCATCACTTTTAATGGTTTCCTACAGTTGGTAATGGTGTTGGTCTACTTGTGTTGTTTTGTTTCTGGTTGTTATTTTGTTGTTGGTGTTGTTGTTGTTGTTCTTTGGTTTGTATATGGTGATACTGTTTTTGCTAGGGAGGTTGTTGTAGTTTTTCTTGTGGATGTGCTATTGTGGTTTGTTTTAAATTGTTGTTGTTGTTTGTGTGGTTGAGTGTGTTGTTATAAGTGCTGAGATTGGTAGGGTAGATGTTATTAACAAAGCTGATGTGACGGATTGCATTGGATAAACGATGTTTACATTTTAGGAATGTAGGCACCTCAGAAGTTGTCCCTATCAAGTTTTCTTTTTGGTAAGTCTCGAATTCAATTGTTTCACCAAATAATAACCCTTGAAATATGAGAAGGTTGATCAATAACAAATCAAAACAAACTTAGAATTTAACATCTCGTCTAATTATTATGAAAATTTATTTATATTGCGATTGAAATGCCCACATAATTCAAAAATGAAACCGAAACTGAACGTTCAACAAATAGGTGGAAGTCCCTAACACAGGTGCACCACTTTACCACGGATTCGAGTCCTGATGTCCTGGCGGCATCTCTTTCAAAGGAGAGGTGGACGTTGAAGGCATACAATAAAGTCATGGAGTCAGTTTGTTCGTTCGTTCGTTAATTTGTGCGTGTATGATTTTACTATGTTTGTGTTGATATGTTTCAGTTTTGTTACGTTAATTTGTCCGTTTGTACTTAGATGATGAATGTTATTTCGTTTTTTAAACTGGTTGCGAAAATTTGGCTCTTGCTTTCAAACATTGACACCAGGGTGCTATAAATTTGCTGTTAACAGAAATTATAACTTAGCTTGTTTCTCTATTCTAAACATCATTTTACTGATAAATATTTAAAATATCATAAAATTGCAGCTGGTTCTACAGGGATGAGACTTATTATTCTCAATGGGGTGAGCTTTCGGGTGTGGTGCGGCACAGGGGGAGGGAATTGATGATGTGCCTCAGGGGACCGAGGAACCATTTATACGGTTAGTGAAAAGGTGTTGCATCACTTTTGAATTCATGCACGTAATTTTGTATAAATGATTGGTTATATAACAACTAAAATATGACTGACAATTCAAGTAAATGCTATAAAGCAGATTATAGCTGCAGATATGTGCGACGAACTCAGCACATCATTTGCTCAATCGTCGCTAACACTTAAATCGTGGTTTTAAATCATAACTGGACGGGCTTTATAAAAAAAAATTTGAAGCCGATGCATTAAAATTGAAAATCTTTCAAAGCTTGTTGGTCAAAGCTTTCTTATTCAATGAAAATTTCATGTATTTCAGATCACTCGAACAGTTTCTACGGTGTATTGTTAATTTTTCCAAAAGTAATGTAATAAACTTGAACAATTTTCTTTAGCAAAACCAGACAGCCGAGATACATCAAAACAATACTCACTGATACAACTTTAATGTAGCGAACGAATTGATCTTTTCAGATACAGACGATGTACTCCGAATGTTTGAAGCATCTAGAAGCATTTTATTTTCGATGCCTTATAATTTTTGCAACGCAAATTCATCTACAAAATTTTTTCAAGCGAGCTCAATTTGGCCGTGAAAAATTTCCAAATTATTTGAAATATAAACTAAGATAATTTTTGTAAAATATTGAATTTAACACAGCTCAAGTTCTCAGCAGTTGGTCACAAATTTTTGATATTGAAAGTTAACCTATTAAAAATCAGGTTTGCAGCATTTACTCGGTGCTACAAAGTTAACGAAATCTTGAAACTTCAGTATACTAGGCCAACAATATCAATATGTTGCTACTTTTTAAAAATTCTTCTTTCTTCGCTTTTTGTTTTTTCTTTTTATACAAGCACACACACACACACACACACACACACACACACACACACACACACACACACACACACACACACACACACACACACACACACACACACACAAGCACACACACACACACACTTACATAATATATTTATATTATATACAAAGCAGACATCATTAAGTTAGTTGTGAAATGGTGCAAAGGCTGATAAAAAGCAGACATTATTTATAAAGCAGATTAGTCGCCAAGTGTCAAAATTTAATAATGATACTAAATCGACAGCAAAAAACAAATAAACAATTTGTTTAGCAAATAAAAACATTTAAACAACTATTAAATCGGAAACAATTTTCGAATAATTTTTTAACAATTTAAACATTTTTAACCACTACGGTTGGTCAGCGCTTGGGGTGGTCAGTTGGTTTATATAAAAAAAATCACAAATGACCACTTCTTCCAATCTATTTGATGAAGATAATAAATGAAAAATATGAATTGCTATCTATCAAATTATAAAAAAAAATGTATTGATATGTGTAAATTTGCATAGGATCTGTTGGTCTGACGCTATCTCGACCTTGTTCATCGTGGATCATCTATACAGAGGTTGGTTCGCATAATTCAGATGGTTCAGTTGCATACAATGTTTGTATGTTTTGTATCTGCTATCCCTCACGTACATCTTTGTATCTTTTGTATCTTATGTTTTACATATAAATGTTTGTATGTTTCATATTTGTTGTTTACACATACATGTTTGTATACATAGGTATATAGTTATGTGGTGTGGATGTTTTTTTGAGAGTAAAACTCGTATCATTTTGATGTCGTCGTTACTAGAAAACTAGTTTAACAGCAGAAAAATAAAAAAAAAATAATATTATTAATATGATTGTTATATAATAAATATTATTATTATCATCATTATTATAATTACATTTATTATTTTCGCTACGTAGAAATATCACATGATTCAGCTGGAGGTGGTTTGCTGGCAGAGTTTCATCAAAAAGTAATTAAAATATTAACTAATTATTTATAATTATTTATTTATGACACTGACACAACACGTACCAAATCCACACACACATCCAAACACACACACAAACACCAAAACACACACACACAGACACACACACACACACACACGTCATATGAGTGCAGGTACCACATGGGGTTTGTATCCTTCCCCAATGGTGAGAAAACCCCCATCACCACCAGCAACCTCACCCACTCAGGTGTTGTTCCCGACCTCAACAATCGACCCAAATTCAAATTTGTATTCAAAGCCGGTGTGATTTTAATTGATTATTTAATTTTAAATATATTAATTAATTAAACAACATAATATATAATTATATCATATATATTTGTTAATTAGTTAATTAAAAATATTATTACTTATTATTAACTAATTATTTCCACTTAATTATATTAAACATCTAATTACACGATTTTTGATGAAAATTCTTAAAAATCGTTCATCTCAGAATGTTAAACATTGTAAAAAATTGAATTTAAAACTATCACAAGTTATTAAAAGATGTTATTTTTACTGGCCATTGTTCATTGTTGTATCCAGTTCCGGTTTTTCCAAACCTTTTAGTTCCCCGCCAACCTACCTACCTTTTTGTACCCCGCCTCTTCAAAAAAATGTTTATGACTTTTTGGGGCTCTATTAAAAATTTTTTTTCGTTTTCGTCATGTTTTATGGCTGTATGCAGAGCTTTCCTATTATTACGTACTGTTTCTGCTAACCAATTCAACCTTCACCCTGACATGTAAAGCCCCACCATGCCTCTCAACAATGAAATTGACCTCCCCGCTAGAAGACACTGATGATCAGATGATCAGGAAGTGAAATATCAAAATTTCGTACAAATTAATTTTTCAACATAGCAAGTGATTGTACATTTACTGAAACTGTTACTGGTGCACTTTTGTACACTGAGTACCTATGAACAACAAACAGGAGGCACTAAGTACAAAGTGGAATGTAACGTCACTTCAACTGGAATGCTGCCTCCCAACACTGACCACATCTTCTCGAACATCATTTTCAGGGTGACGTCATTTGTATAATTAGCATATCACGTAATATCTCATCACACTGTTCATGTTAAATTTCTTTTCCATTTCGGTTATCACCATCATCATTATTTTATCTCAGAAATCATCATCGTCATCGTCATCATAAATATCATCATAATCATCATCATGACAACCAGACAGCCGATGTGAAGGTCAACGGCATGAATGGTATGGCCCTGTGCACTATGACCTACTTGTGAGTTACGTACGTTCACGTGTTTTATATATCGGCTGTGACGTTCAGATGCTATTGATGCTGCTTCCACTATTGCAAACAAACAACCAACCAAAAAAACACGAAAATGAAACCAAAATACAAACGTATACATAAAAAACAAACCAAATAAAACTTAAAATAAACAAATCAACAAAAAGATAAGTGAAGAAACAAACAACCAACAAATGGATAAACAAACAAATAATAATCAAATGTGCAAAACCAACAAACCAACCTAACAAACAAACAAACGAACAACTAAATAAACAAAACAACAACGAAACAGAGAAAAATCAGCGGACGTGTTCGACACGATCTCTCACTCTCCGGCCCCTTTATTTCAGGAGTTCCTGGTCTTGAACCGCATCGAGGCAGACGAGTACGTCGTACCCCTTAGCTCGCCCCTCTGCACCGTCAACTCTTTTGTTGGCGGGAAAGCCTGTCAGTTGGCCTTCCTGTACCAAAATCAGAACAAGGTTTGGAAGCAGTTGGGCCGTTTAAAATTTGGATTATACCACATTTCTCAACGTACTGAGTAATTTTTTATATATTATACTTAAAAATGATATTTTTATATACTTATACTGAGCAATTTTTTATACACTTAGAAATACTCTGTGAAGAACGCTGTTTGCATCAGCGTCAATGCCTTCAAAAGATTTCTCGTTGTTAGTTTTAAAAATAAATCATTTCCATTATTTCTATTTTTTTTTATTATTCTTTTGTTTTCTATCATTACCATTATTATTATTGCTATTATTATTTTTATTCGTATCGTTCTAAGTTTGATGAAGTTATTAGGGATAACATCAGAGTAGATGTAATTTTTAACATCATTTTGCCATCTCTATCGTCGTCACCATCATCATCATCATCATCATCATCATCATCATCATCATCATCATCATCATCATTGTTAACTTCACAATAGCCATCATCATCGTCATCATAGTCGTCATCATCATTATCATTGTTATCATTATCAGGAGAATCACCACGCGATGAGTTTTATTAAAAGGATGAAAGTGCTCTACATGTAAGATTATTTTTGTCATTCATTCATTCGTTCGTTCATTCATTAATTCATTCATTCATTAATTTATCTATTGGATATATCTATCGGATATTATATATATATATATATATATATACATATATATATATCTTGAAAGATATATATATATATATATATAATATATTATATATATATATATATATATATATATATATATATATACAACATCAACAACAAAACAAGCAACAAACAATAACCAACAAACAAACAAACAAACAAACAAACAAACAACAAAACTAACAAACAACAACAAACAACAACAAACAAACAACAGACGCAGGATGTCGATGCCAGGAAGTTCAGGATCGGTGGAAGTGAGGGAGACTCAGAAGATGTGCGCAGGTGCCCAACAAGTTATGAGGGAGGGAGTGATTGCTGATGTCGTCAAGGTAATTATGATGATGAAGATGATGGTGATGGTGATAATGACGGTGGTGAGAATAGTGGTGATAATGATGATGATGACGGTGGTGAGGATGGTGGTGGTGGTGATGATGATGACTGTGGTTACTATGACAATGGTAAAGGAAATGATGATAAAAACATTCGTTCAAGTAATTACGGTGATGGATTGAAAGATTGATAAAGGAAACTGATGGTGAAACTTGTTATGCATCTTCTTCGCGATATTTTTTTATTCTTAATAAAAGTTTCCTTATTACAATTATCGGCATCAGTTTAACCCCATCATCATCATCGTCGTCATCATTATAATTATCATCATCGTCATCATCATCATCGTCATCATCGTCATCGTCGTCATCATCATCATCAAAAATAGTAACACAATTATCATCACCGCCGCCACCATCAGTTCGGCGCCATCATCATCATGATCGTCATCATTGTAATCATCATCACAATTATTACCATCTTTCACGTCATAATAACCACCATCATCAGTTCATCATCAAAGACCAGCTGGCTCAATCATTCGGCAAAGATTTCGAGAGGAAAAAATTTGCCGTTCGATCATCGGCTATAGGTAAGAATTCTACTCTATTCTATTCTACTCTATTTTACATTATTTTTACTTTATATTTTACTTAATTGAAAGTATAAGTATTGTTTGTTGTTGTATAGACATAATTTTTCCAGCATTCTTTGCAAGTATATGCATTGTAATGTGGTATTAAATGAATATTATTTTCGAACACTGAGTTACTAAATTATTTAGGTGTAGTTAGTATACAGTAGCATTTGTCATTTTGACGTCATTATGACGTAATGTTGATGTGATCACGTGATGAGTAATCGTCGCAAAACGTTCGTGACACAGGTGAGGATGGTACAAAATTGTCGGGGGCAGGTCACATGGAAACGACCTTGAATGTTCAAGGGCTGGATGAGGTTCTGATAATGATGTTGAGGAGAACGATGTTGATGATGTTCATGACGATGATATAGATGATAATTCAAAAAATGACGAAGATGGTGAAAACGATAATAATGACAATGATGATGGTTGTTTTGATGATAATGGTGAAAATGACGATGACGATGATGATGAACAGATAATGAATGCGCTGTTGACCAGCTGGATATCTTGTTTCTCGTTCATGGCAGTTACCTACCGGAAGTAAAAGATGATGATGTTATTATTGATGATAATGATGATGCTGCTGCTGCTGATGATGTTGTTATGATGATGATGTTGTTATGATGATGATGTTGTTATGATGATGATGATGATGATGATGATGACGATGATGATGATGATGTTGTTATGATGATAATGATGATGATGATGATGTTATTATAACGAAGATGATATTGATGATAATGATGCTATTGCTGTTGATGATGATGTTATGATGATGATAATGATGTCACTGATGATGATGATATTATTATTGATCATCATGTCAACGATTGACTTTATTAGCGATAATGATCATGATCGTGATTAGTATAATTATTATTATTACTATTATTATTCTCATTATAATTATTAATAATTTTTAAAATAATTACTAGAGGAATCACTATAAGCACCACGCGCACGCACATTTCACGTAAGATGGACAGGGATCTCTATGCGAACGAACCCGGTCGGTGCAACTGCAGAACAGACGTCTTAACCACTACACTATCGCCACACTGATAACAATTTCCACGCATATAATGACGATGATGAAACAAATGAAGGTGATGATGACTTATGTGATTATGTGGATGATGTTGGAATGATTTGATTGGTTGCAGCATGAACGGGCAAAGCATACTGACGTTGTCTGGAGTGGTCATTCAAGAGATGGTGGAAGCTGAGACCTCAGGTTGATTGGTCATCATTATCCTATTTATTCTCACCCTCATCATTTTCATCCCTATCATCATCATCATTCTCATCTTTATCCTAACCATCAATGTTTTTATCGCCTTCATCGTCATGATTCTCATCATGATTCTCATCGTCCTCATCGTTATTTTACTCATTTCAATTTTTTTATTATCTCTCATTTTTACTTTTTCTCTTTCTTTATCTCTTTCTCTTTCTTTCTCTCTTTCTCTTTCTCTCTCTCTCTCTCTCTCTCTCACTCATCTAATTTTGAAGTTTTTTGTTGTCATCATTCTCATTGATGCCAACGCAATAATCACAGCTCAATGACGTCACAATAACCAGTTCAGTCATCATCATCATCACCATCCTTATTGTCATAATCATGACCACCTACCTGACCAGGTGTCCTATTCACGGTGCATCCAGTAACAAAGGATCCCAGCCAGATGGTCATCAACGTTTCATGCGGGCTTGGAAATGTTAGTTGTCATGATGATGATGATGATGACGATGACGACGATGATGAAGATGATGGTGAAGATGAAAAGATGGCGATGATGAATGATGATGATGAAGAGGAAAAAAAAGTAGAAAGAGAATGGTGATGATGACCGAATGATGATGAAGGTGGTGATGATGACGGCGATGATGATGATGAAGATGTTGGTGGTGATGATGAAGAAGATGATGGTGGTGATGATAAAGAAAATGATGGTGGTGATGACGAGGAGGAGAATGATAGTAGTGGCGATTAAAAAAATTGATGATGATGATGATCAAATGATTGATTACAATGGTAATAACGACCGTTCTTACAACAGTAACGCTATTGAAGTTATTAACACGATAACATTTTCTTTCATTTTTTTTGTTCAATTTTTTTTAATCTCTTTTCAATTATTTTTGGCTTTCATACTTTATATTTTCCCATTTTTTTTTCATTTTGTTTATTTAAAAAAATTTTTTTTCTCAATTTTTTACCTATCAAATTTTTTCCAACTCATTTGCCACCACACCGCACCACACCACACCACACACACCACAAGGCCCTGGTTTCGGGAGAGATCACCCCAGATGAAATCGTCATTGATAGAACGCACGACAATCAGTTCTCAATCTCTTCATTCAGAAGTGGAACCAGCAAAAGTATATTCGTTAATCTAACTACTTTTCAGATTCGCTCACACACACACACACACACACACACACGCACGCACACAACATAACTCTTTATATGTAATAATTAACGCAATATTATTATTCAAGAAATTAAAATTATCTTATGAACACGCATGATTTATAAAGTTATAATCAAAAAGGAGAATATTTAATAAAATAAATTAATAATATTTATAAAATCGAAAAATTCAACACAGAGGTCAGGAAGAACGCACGCGGTTTGTGCGTATCAGATGAAGAGATTTACAAACTCTGCGAAATCGCCCTAGAAGTAATGTGCAAAAATTAAAATTACACAAGAATTACATTATTAATAATAATTTTAAAATATTTAATAATTATAACATTAATAATTTTTATAAAATTAGTAAAAGTATTGATTTTTTTTATGATCACGATTTGTAAGTGATATTTGTAATACAATAATTATAGTAGGTAAATATAAAATTAGCAATTCATGTTGCTATTATTATTATTATATTTTGTTATTATTATTATTATTTTATTATGCTATTATTATTATTGTGTTTAGTTATTATTATTATTATTGTTATATTATGCTATTATTATTATATTTATTTATTATTATTATTGTTATATTATGCTATTATTATTATATTTAGTTATTTTTATTATTATTATATTATGCTATTATTATTATTATATTTAGTTATTATTATTATTGTTGTTA